TATAAGATATAAACTTTCCCCCGTTTCAGTGATTAAAAAGACAATTTCCTTCCTTATCTTTAGATAGTCTACCAGTTGGAATGGCAACAAATTGCTGCAGTGTTGAATGCTCTTGGGTCATTGAATTACAAGCCATGCCATGTGATGGCGTTCTTGTCTCCTGACCGCCTGCTTTCTCCTGCTTCTTCAACAATCTATTGGGATTCATTGACCACTGAATACATTCAGGCTGCAGTTGTTGTTGCTGTTTATTCATTCAGTCGCTTCCGACTCTTCATGACCTCCTGGACCAGCCCATGCCAGAGCTCCCTGTCAGCCATGGCCACCCCCAGTTCCTTCAAAGTCAAGCCAGTCACTTCAAGGATACCATCCATCCATCTTGCCCTTGGTCGGCCCTCTTTTCTTCCATTTTCTCCAGCATCATTATCTTCTCCAAGCTGTCCTGTCTTCTCATTATGTGGCCAAAGTATTTCATCTTTGCTTCTAATATCCTTCCCTCCATTGAGCAGCCAGGCATTATTTCCTGGAGGCTGCAGTTACACTTACAGAATTGTGCAATAATAAAGTGCAGTATAAGAACAGGTCCTCCTGGTCAGTTGGAAAGTCGAACAGGGTATAAGGTTACAGCCTGTGCTTGATGGGGTTACACTCCCCTTGAAGGCATACGTTTACAGATTGGGAGTGATCCTGGACTCATCGCTGAGCCTGGAACCCCTGGTCTCGGCAGTGGCCAGGGGAGCTTTCACACATTTAAAGCTCATGCGCCAGCTGCACCCTTGTCTTGGGAGGCTGGACTTGGCCATGGTGGTCCATGCTCTGGTTACATCCCGAATAGATTACTGCAATGCACTCAACGTGGGTTTGCCTCTGAAGACTGCTCAGAAGCTCCAGCTAGTCCAACACTCACAATAGTGGGGTACAGGAAGCATACAACTCCTCCGTTACACCAGCTCCACTGGCTGTCCATTAGCTTCTGAGCACAATTCAAAGTGCTGGCTTTAGCCTATAAAGCCCTAAATGGTTCCAGCCCAGTTTACCCGTCCGAACCTATCACCCTCTACATACCATCAAGGACTTTAAGATTGTTCAGGGAGACCTGGCTCTCAGTTGCACCACCATCACTGTTGCATTTGGTGGGGAAGAGAGACAGGGCCTTCTCTGTAGTGGTCCCTCAGCTGTGGAACTCCCTCCATAATGAGATCAAATCCACTCCTTCTCTCCTGACCTTCTGGAAGAAACTCAAATCCTGGATGTGGGATCAAGCGTTTGCAGAATAGACTGACTTGCTGGGAAGACAATGTTGTAATGGTTTTAGGATGATTTAAACTGGCGAACTGTTTAATGCATATTTATAATGGTATTATTGTATATTACTGTATTTTATGCTATGTTTTATTTTGTGTCAGCACTGAATAGTGCCTGTTGGTAGCCGTCCTCAGTCCCTCTCCGGAGGATGAGAAGGACGGGATATAGGTAAATGTTCCAAATAAACAAACATCCCTGGAACCATGGAGGAAACCGTGAAAATGAACAAAATCTGGCTACTAGTATTAAAAAAACTCTAAAATTACAACAGCACAACAACAGAGAGGAAACAAACAAGGACATCTAATCACCTCTCAACAAAGGTTTGCTCCAGGCACTGTCAGGCCATTATATGCTAATCAAGGTGGTCAGTTGAAACATTCACACCTAGCTCCAGCAGACAAGACACTCCCCTTGAAGGCATACGTTTACAGATTGGGAGCACTGCTGTCTGCTGGAGCACTGGTCATTCCACAGATATATAAACCCTTTTTCCTAGTGCCGACAGACCTCACTACCTCTAAGGATGCTTGCCATAGATGCAGGCAAAACGTCAGGAGAGAATGCCTCTAGACCATGGCCATATAGCCCGAAAAAACCTACAACAACCCAGTGATTCCAACCATGAAAGCCTTTGAAAATACATCCCTGGAACCCTTTTTATTTTCAGATGGATGGATGGACCAACACTCTTTTGAGGTTGCCAATACAAAGTATTTCCATGACATTGGTTCTGTTGGTCACAAGGCTGGGTGCCCTGTTATGATCTTATCAAAAGCAACACTACCAGCAGACTTTGCGAAGGAGATCTTTCTGGCCAGTGACACAACAGTGGATCTGTTGCACCTGTGGGTATTGAATTGGGCCAAATCTAGCTTGATCCATGTGTCCACAGCTAAAACAACAACAACATAATCATTCTGCAGCTTCCTAAAAGCTCTAGAGTCAATTTCATTTCCCCTTGTTCTGGATTAATGGCTAGAAGCAGTGCTTTTACTTTGAATCCAGAGATATGTCATGTGGATTCCCCACAAGAGTTGCAAGATAAATTCACTTTATTTGGCCTCTATAGACACATCCTCAGTCTCTAGTGAACTTTTCTTTCAGAATAAATCTTGCCTTCTGTATACTTTTGGGAATTTGGATCAACCTGCTAATTTGCCCATCTTTCATTTGCATTAGAATCTGTGCTTGGAGAATGAGCCTGTTGTTAGTTCACAGTATTTCTCACAGGCAGATAGTTTAAAAACTTATGTGTTGCAAACCGATGTACAGCTACCTCCACACTCGCCCCTAATTTGCCCTCCAACAGAATTCTTTTCTCAAACAGCTGAGTCATACAGACACAGTAGGTCCAGCGTAAACTTTACCAGCAGCACATACTTAAGTTTCTTTGAAACAGTTTGCTTTTTGAGCCTCATTTGCAGGAGACGGCGTGTGTCGCATCAAAGAAAAGCCATGACAGAAAATAGATTGCCTCGCTTTTAACTTGGCAATCAATTCTGTTCCAGGATTTCTCTAATATGATTCAAACAATGCAAAGATTACACAGCAGGGAAGAGAATTAGACATATTTTCTCTTCATGGTTCTCCAGCTCTGCTTACTAAATGTAAAGCAAACTGGTTAACTATGTGAAGATCCTATCAGAGTATACTGAAGTATTAGATTCAATTAGAATATATTTACTGCAGCTTTACTCACTATAGCCTGTCCATAGAATCATATAGAGTTGGAAGAGACGACATGAGTCATCTAGTCCAACCTCCTGCAATGCAGGAAAATTCAAACGATCTTAACAGATTAGATAGCCAATACTCCAGAGGACAGGAGCAGAATTCAAAACAATCTTAACAGATTAGAGAAATGGGCCAAAACTAACAAAATGAAGTCCAACAGGGACAAATGGAAGATACTCCACTTAGACAGAAATAATAAAATGCAAAGATACAAAATGGGAGATACCTGGCTCGATAACAGTACGTGTGAAAAAGATCTTGGCGTCCTTGTGGACAACAAGTTAAACATGAGCTAACAATGCCATGCAGTGGCAAAAAAGCCAGTGAGATTTTGACCTGAATAAAAAGAGTCTAGTGTCTATATTCAGGGTAGTCCTGCTACCCCTCTGTTCTGCCTTGGCCAGACCACACCTGGAATCACACTGTGTTTAGTTCTGGGCACCACAATTGAAGGGAGATGTTGATAAGCTGAAATGTGTCCAGAGGAGGGTGACTCAAAGGATCAACAGTCTGGAGAACAAGCCCTATGAGGAGTGGTTTAAAGAGATGGGCATGTTTAGCCTTCCAAAGAGAAGGCTGACACAAGACATAATGGCCATGTATAAATATGTGAGGGGAAGTCATAGGCCATCTATGCAAACAGGGTGTTGTTCCTGGGTTATATATGTCTGTTCCTGATTGCTATTATCATGAAAAGATGTCTCACATTGACAAGGGGGCACAATTTTGCCAAGGCCAGAGAAAATGTGCCCTCCACATGTTTCACTAAGTTTCTGGCACACAAAATTTTCATGCTCTACTCAACAGTCAGCTTCTTTTTAGGAATCAACCAATCAGGAACAAAAATTGAAACCCCGAGAGCAAACCAAGATAAAAAAAATCCAATGATTTCCAAGTGTAGGGACATACAGACATTCGAAGATGTGGATTTTCGGCTCAGAACCAGGATATTCCTGCACCTGAAAATCTTGCAATTTTTTTCCGTTTGTAGCAATTGCTTCTGCATTTATAGCAAACGGCATTTGGCTATCTTCCTGTTTGCTGCGAGAACTCCTGGGATAAAGGTAATGTCTGGATGGGCCCTTAGAAACACAGAACAATTAAAATGGAAGGGACCACAAAGGCCATTTGGTTGAATGCACTGATAAATCACTGGGATTGTGACGCAGCTGGCTAAGTGTCAGCTGCATTAAGATCACTCTGACCAAAAGGTCATGAGTTCGAAGCCAGCCCAGGTTTCCAACCAATTGTGTAGCCTGTTGTCAACCTTTGCAACCAGAAAGACAGTTGCATCTGTCAAGTAGGAAAATAAGGTACCACTTTAAAGTGTGGGGAGGCTAAATTAACTAATTTATGAGGCCATAAAAAAAAGACTCCAGCAAAAGCATGCGGGGAATGCGGAAGTACTTCATCAGTGTCGCAGATGGACAATTAAAGCAACAGCTCCCCTGGTGGCCAGAAAAAGTTAAATAGCCTCTGTCTATGTCTGTATATGTTGCATGTCAAAATTGGCATTGAATGTTTGCCATATATGTGTACACTGTAATCGGCCCTGAGTCCCCTGCGGGGTGAGAAGGGCGGAATATAAAAGCTGTAAATAAATAATAATAAATAAATAATAATTCTGGGATATAGTCATCTCCTCTCTGTTTGAAGACCTCCAAAGAAGGAGAGTCTACGACATTCCAAGGGAAAAAAAGTAATATTTTCCAGTTTTCACTTGACCCTTCAAATCACTAGGTCACCTTATGTCTCCTGAAACTTGTAGGCTTACATGCCTGGTAAGTCTGAGCAACTTTGGAGGCTGAACAAGGTTCTGCTGGAGACTTTCCCCCTCCTTTTGTGTCTCATTGCTCTCATGAGATAACAAGCTTTTCCTCAACTGCAATCTGTCCAGGTGTGAAACCAGATCTGAGCAAGGTGGATTTATCCAGCTAGAAAATGTATATATAACTCACCTGAGCCTGCCATCCTCTGCTGCAGCTCCTCCTGGTATAATCTTAGTAATAAATATTCCAGGATCGTCCCCAATGTGTGGGTTATCTGTTCCTCCAGCAATACTGAAACCCAGGCCAGAATTACCCTGAAGGAAAGAAGGAGGGAGGGAGAGAGAGAGAAAGAAGAAGAAATGCCATCTGTTACAGAAATGTCAGCTTTGGTACCACAATAACTTAAATATAAGTTGAGCAATTTAACATTCTGTTGAATGCTAAGGATAATACATAAACTATCAGGCTGTTTATATCAAGGCTTTATGACAGCATTCAGCTTTGAAATCAGAATGCCTGTGAAGTTTTACAAGGCAGAGCAGATTTTAAGTGCTCTATATTGATTGGAACCCCATTTGTAAAGAGGTATATACAGTCTAGGCAGAACGAGCTTTTAAAGTACTTAGAATCATAGAGTTGGAAGAGACCTCATGGGCCATCCAGTCCAACCCTCTGCCAAGAAGCAGGAAAATTGCATTCAAAGCACCCCCGACAGCTGGAATGTGTCCAGAGGAGGGTGACTAAAATGATCAAGGGTCTGGAGAACAAGCCCTATGAGGAGCGGCATAAGGAGCTGGGCATGTTTAGCCTGAAGAAGAGAAGGCTGAGAGGAGATATGATAGCCATGTATAAATATGTGAGAGGAAGCCACAGGGAGGAGGGAGCAAGCTTGTTTACTGCTTCCATGGAGATTAGGACAAGGAACAATGGCTTCAAACTACAAGAAAGGAGATTCCATCTGAACATGAGGAAGAACTTCCTGCCTGTGAGAGCTGTTCAGCAGTGGAACTCTCTGCCCCGGAGTGTGGTGGAGGCTCCTTCTTTGGAAGCTTTTAAACAGAGGCTGGATGGCCATCTGTCAGGGGTGATTTGAATGCAATATTCCTGCTTCTTGGCAGGGGGTTGGACTGGATGACCCATGAGGTCTCTTCCAACTCTTTGATTCTATGATTCTATGACAGATGGCCATCCAGCCTCTGTTTAAAAGCTTCCAAAGAAGGAGCCTCTACCACATTCTGGGGCAGAGAGTTCCACTGCTGAACAGCTCTCACAGTCAGGAAGTTCTTCCTCATGTTCAGATGGAATCTCCTTCTTGTAGTTTGAAGCCATTGTTCTGCATCCTAGTCTCCAGGGCAGCAAAAACAAGTTTGCTCCCTCCTCCCTATGACCTCCTCTCACATATTTATGCATGGCTATCATGTTTCTTCTCAGCCTTCTCTTCTTCAGGCTAAACATGGCCAGCTCTTTAAGCCGCTCCTCGTGGGGCTTGTTCTCCAGACTCTTGATAATTTTAGTTGCCCTCCTCTGGACACATTCCAGCTTGTTAATATCTCTCTTGAACTGTGGTGCCCAGAATTGGACACAACATTCCAGGTGTGGTCTAACCAAGGCAGACTAGAGGGGTAGCATTACTTCACCACAATAACCCAAGTTTACTTTGACACTGTACAACAGTGGTTCTCAACTTGAGGTCCCCAGATGTTTTTGGCCTACAACTCCCATAAATCCCAGCCAGTTTACCAGCTGTTAGTTTCTGGGAGTTGAAAGTCAAAAACATCTGGGGACCCCAGGTTGAGAACCACTGCTGTACAACCTCTTTACTGTTTACTACAGATTGAATATCTCTATCTGAAATGCTTGAGACTAGAAGTGTCTTGGATGTGTATATTTTTTTTACTTTTGGAATTCCTATATTTACATACTTATACATAATAATATATCTTGGAGATGGGACCCAATTCTAAACACAGAATTCCAGCTACAATTAAGCTTATGTATGGATTTAATTTGGCTGGTTCCCTTCAGCTAATCTGACTGGTTCAGAAGGCCATAACAACAAGAGCTTAGCCTCCACGTTTTTCCGGCCTCAACAAAACAGTGGCTATCCAAAACCAGCTGCCTTTGGTTACAAGTGGAGTTTGGGAGGGGGAAGCCACTATAAGGAAAAGCGCCAGGGGAAAAAAAGGCACCACTACAGGGCCTACAAATTAAGAGAGGGCTTTTAAAAGGGTTAGAATAGCTTCAGGTTGATTGCTCTTCCTTCCATGGGAAGTGGGAAAGCCTCCTTAAAATGCATTGGACAGCTGCAGGAAGAGAGTGCTGCACGTGCACTTGACTCCTCTGCTGTATAAACAGCTTTAAGGATGCATTAAAGTTGGTCTTCTCTACAGACAGAAGGGAAAGGATCGCAGAAAGAGTGGTATCTTAACTCTGATGCTTTAAATCCAGTTCTTAATGAAAAAATATAAGGACAAACAATGCCTAAAATGATTGGGAGCCTGGGAAGCCCCCCCCCCCCAAATAATGAGCTAGAGAGAAAACAAATATTTTGGCTTCGTGGATTGAAAATGCCTCCCGATTTTGGGAGGCTCTCGAAAAATGGATCACATTTTACCCAGATTGCACAAGCTTAGCTACAATATCCCTAGCAGGTAGCTGTCCAGCCTTTTCCGGAAGACATCAGGAGAAGGTGACCCCATCACTTCTCTAGGCAATTTATTTTACTGCCATGTTTCTTTTAATGTTTCCTCACTCTTTTTTCCACTTCCTGAAGCTGGGAAAGTGAATGGGAAACAGGTTTCAAATCTGGTTAAGAAGGAATTTAAGAAGATATCTGGACTATTGACATGTTCCCTACTCACATTTTTCCTCAGTTATGATGTACAGCAATTCCCTTTAATGTTTAAAGAGAGCATCTAATTTTGCAACCACATATGTAATCTTTCTTTTTTTTGTGCACCTCCCTTTTTTTCATTTTCAGAAGTATTCTGCGTGAATTGATTTGCACACCATGTCCTATCTCTCTTTGCGTTAGGCTTTATTATAGCTGTTTTTGAGAATGGCTGTTGATTGTTTTTTAAAATAGTTAAGTGATTGCTTCAGTTCATTTTGTTAGTTCCTCTGAATTCATTGGGGAAATAAACAAGAGTAAAAATGTTCAAAGGAAATGGATGGCTGGTCAAAGCATTTCTGGACATAGAGCTGCCCAGAGTCTTTGTCAGGGCTGAGCATTACTCCTCCTGCATGCAAAATATAGCATGTAAATCTATCTATCCCACTCCTACATGCCTGCACGGTTTTCTCTCTCATTCCACTGTTGGAGAACCTAGACCAGGGGTCCTGAAACTTGTAGGGCCAAAAACAGCCCTCCAAGGTATTTTACCCAGCCATCACTCAGGGTCAATCTATGTCTGAAATGACTTGAAAGCACACAACAACAACAACAACAATTCTATCTCATCAGCCAAAAGCAGGCCCACACTTCCCACTGAAATGCTAATAAGTATATTTGTTAAAACTGTTCTTTATTTTATTGTTTTTAAGTGTTTTTTGCACTACAAATAAGATATGTGTAGTGTGCATAGGAATTCATTCATGCTTTTTTCAAATTATAATCCAGCCCTCCAACAGTTTGCAGGACTGTGACCTGGCCCTCCATTCAAAAACTTTGAGGACCCCTGACCTAGACATTCCTAGAGAGCAATTATTTCATGTATAAAGAGTGATTTTTAATCCATAGTTTTTCACTTTCATGGAGGTTCAGTTCCTCCTCTAACTCCAGTGAATGTGGAGGAATGATTGTAATCTATAATACACAGGCTGATTTTTTTTTCAAATTTCCAACATACATTAGAAACATCTTTTTAAACAGCAGGGCTGACTTCCTGTATCTTTTTTCTTCTTGTACTTCTGGTCAGAGTACCAGTAAGGTAATGGTTGTTGCAACCCAGATCAGGAAACAAGACCATAAGATTAAATCCACCACACTTGACTGTGGGAAAAACAATCCTTTTTTATTGATGAAAAAAATGGTTACAAAATAGAAGAAAATGCAAAGTCAAAAAGCCACAGTAAAATTCAGCAGTCAGGAATATCTCTGAACTAGATAAAATTCCAAAAGCAACACTATAAAAACCTGGAACCTGTTAGTATCTCACCAACCGTACTTGGAAACTAGAAGCCTCTGGGAATGCAGGCCATGGGAAACAGGAACTCAGCCAAGGTGATGCCTCAGTCTAAACGATGCTTGATCTAACAAGACAGCCCGGGGGAAGACACTTTAAACTAAAGAAACTGTTTCGGGACACGCCTCCAGGCTTGGAAGCCTCCTTTTCCTTTAATCTACTTGACCTTTGCAGACGCTGTGATTCACTCCTGTTTTCCCAAATCTGCCTTCTTCTATCCTCATTAAAAAGGCAGATGTTAACTCCTCTGGAGAGTTATCACCGCTTGATTCTGAAACATCCTCATCAGGATGTTTAGTTTCACTTTCCCAGCCACTGCCCTCAGAATCAACAATTTCCAAACCATCAGGGGAAACTACATGTTCAGTTGCATCAGGAAATACAATCAAAGAATCAGGGTCAGGTTCACATGGAGGCTGAGGGTCAGGTTCACACGGAGGCTGAACCCCAACAATGGTAAAGGTTTTCCCCTGACATTAAGTCCCATTGTGGCCGACTCTGGGGGTTGCTGCTGATCTCCATTTTGAAGCAGAAATGGAGACACCTCCGAGGTCATGTGGCCAGCATGACTGCATGGATCACTGTTACCTTCCGACCGGGGTGGTACCAATTGATCCACTCATATTTGCATGATTTCGAACTGCTAGGTTGGCAGAAGCTGGGGCTGACAGTGGGAACTCACCCCCTCCCCAGATTCAAACTTGTGATCTTCCAGTCAACAAGTTCAGCAGCTAGGTGCTTTAACCCACTGTGCCACCGGGAGCTCCTGGACAGAGTACTAATAATATGTTATATGGAGGAGAATAGTGAGAGCAAAAAGCTCTTCCCATGCTATCCCTTCAGTAGAATACAAAACCTTGGTATATTTCAGGCACATATGGATTCAGGGGCAGCAACAAGCACTACAAGGCACACAAGTCAGGTCCATAACTGCCCAACATTCATTGGGATTAGCAACCATCTCAAGGAGCCCTGAATCATTGCTGGTTCACAACATTTATTGAGAATTGTATGTCATCAATGCTGTCAATGCACTTTCAGTGCCGCCCCAAGAAAGCAACCTTGCAAAGGAAAAGGGCAGCACCCTCTGCTGGCACATCAAACTTCTCAAATTAATCCTCTTGCAAAGG